TCATTTATAGATTTAGTTTACCACAAATAATTATTATTGATTAGGTTTTGATTTTTTTATGGAGTCAAAATCCAAGAGTTCGCAAGGGAATTTAGCTTTGACATAATCAATTCAATGCCATATTACACTCAAGCTAATGGGAAAGTAGAAAAATCAAATACATCATTAAGGAGAACATCCGGAAAACGATTAGCAATAATTCTTGAAATTGTCATGAGTTATTATAAAACATTTTATGGGCTCATCGAATTGGTTTTAAACAAAATAATAAACAAGTCCATATCTACTAACTTATGAACATGACGCAAGATTACCATTCAAGATTGTAGCTCAATCTTTAAGAGTAGTAAGATAAAATAGATGTTTAGAATAGATTACATAGATGCCATGTTTATTCAAATAGAATCTCTTGATTTGGAAATAATTAAGGCATTTAGCAGGATTCATATTCAAAAATAGAGAATGACATAAACTTATAATCGAAATGTTAAAAGCAAAAAATTTTCGATAGGAGATTTAGTTTGAAAAGTTATACTTTCAAGTGGCAAAAAAAAAAAAAGGCTTTCTTCTTGGAAAATGGTCTCCCAATTAGGAAGGTCCTTTTCAAATTAAAAAAATTTATTCTATAAATGCCCATAAATTGGAAAGCATAGAAGGAGTCGAACATTATAGAGGTATTAATGGTAAGTATTTCAAGCCGGATACTTCTTCAATGTGGTAGATCAATAAAGAGGTTTTAGAATCTCTATTTTTAGAATTATGTCAAATTTATAAAAAGTCTTAAAATTGAATCTAAAACTAAAAACAACCATGTAATTTGAAGATGAAGTAAAAATGCTTATTTATTTGAATAAATTAGAGTTTTAGTACAAAATTACTTATTAGCTATCCTACTCCTAAGAATATCTAAAAAGGTTGCAAGTGCTCTAACAAGGTTCGATCGACTACATCTTTGTTGATGAGCAAAATTAAGCCTTTGCCATCTATCATTGAGTTGAGCACATAGGACATGAACGACTCGGACCAATTTAGAATCTCTTTAACATAGCAAGCATCCTAGCACGTCCGCTCCTATACTTCCACCATCCTCCGGCACTTTTTATCTTCATTAATAAAGACAACAAGTTAGAGGAACAAAATTAGCCAACTCCGTAGCTCCCGTATCCGTACCAACCTACACAACAATAGCACCCGACATGTACAAGCATAACACATAGACAAAAAACACAATTCTTTCGAGTCCGTTCAAGTAAAGCCAAAACTAATACCAAAGTTGGAGAGTTTATTCTTGGTGGAGGGAGTTTTTGGAGTTATAGGAGTTGATCTCGAAGTTATCAAGGGATCTTTACGTATAAATAGACGTATAATTAGAGTTTTTTTTTTAAAAAAAAAGAGATAACAAAGAATTAGGGAAAATATAAGAGAGGATTAAGAAATGATAGAAAAAATAGAGAATTGGGGGAGACTAGAGAGAGTAGAGAATTAGAGAGAATAGAATAGAGAATTGAGGTAAAGCAAAAAGAGGGGAACTATGGGAAATCTCGGGGAGACAATTATGGGAAATCAAAGAGAGAGAGAGAGAGAGAGAGAGAGAGAGAGAGAGAGAGAGAGAGTTATAGGGAAAAAAAGAAAGAAATCGGGCAATAGAAGGAATTGAGAGGATTGAACAACACAATAAGGGAAATCGAGAAATTTTAGATAGTTTAGAGGTTAGAGTTCTTACTAGGCTTTTAGAAGAAGGTGAGTTTAGAGCTAGTGTCACCAAATTAGCTTATATAATATTTGGTTTTTGAATGATATTGGCTCACCAATTGAAGCAGTTTGTTGCCATCCATTCCTCCTCGCCTATGCACTTGTAATCAACACCCTAGGTAAGCCTTTGTTTTTCTTTTTGTTGTTTCTTTGATTTACAATCCATGTTGACACCAATCGCTTCAAAGAAAATAAAAGAGAAGAAACAATTAATGACAATGACTCCATCATTGTTATTAGGCGTAATACCGGATACCTAAATTGTTTTTGTACTTACTTTGATTCATTAAATTAAGGAAGGAAATAGGTTTTAAGGGTACAAAGAGTTAGATTCTAGGCTTAGCTAGTTTAATTTTGAGTTTTAGGGTTCAATTAAAAAGGTAAGAAAGCTTTAGGGTTTTTAATTTGGAAAAAAAATAGAATTTAGGTTAAATTGGTTAGGATTTTTGATCATTTTGGGGAATATAAGGAGAAAGAATAGAGAAACTAGGATCAAAGAAGGAGAATGAGTCTTAGGGTTTCGAGAATAAGGTGAAGGATAAGGCTTAAAAATCGAGTTACTTCCTAGGAAGAATTTAGGAAATGAAGAATCAAAAGCAAATAGGAGATGGGTTTGAAGTATAGAGGGATGATGAAGAAAATGGATGAACTAGGTTGAAGATAGAGAGGTTAAAAGAACTAGACAGGGGAGACAAGAGAGATTTTAGGAGAAATGACAAAACGTGTTAAGGGATAGGGATTTAGGCCAGGCCAAAGAAAAGAAAGGTTTGATTGAGTTGATTTTTGGGAGAAATGAACCTAGTATGCTAAAAAAGAAAGGTTTGATTAGGTTGATTTTGGGGAGAAATGAAGCCGATATGCCTAAACCCCCACCCCCTAACATGTTTTCTCATTTCTCCTAAAATCAACTCGATCAAACCTTCCAACTCTCATCTCTCTCCGGTCTCCCTCTCCAGCTTCTTCGTCTTCTCTATCTTCAACCCAGTTCGTCCATCTTCTTCATCATCCCTCTATGCTTTAAACCTATCTCTTTTTTGCTCTTTATTTTTTATTTCCTAAATTCTTCCTAAGAAGTAACTAATTCTCTAAGCCTTCTCTTTCACCTTATTCCTAAAACCCTAAGACTCCTTCTCTTTCTTCAATCCCAAGTTCTCGGTTCCTTCTCCTTATATTCCCCAAACTCGATCGAAACCCTTAGCCAATTTAACCTAAATCCTATTTTTTCTTTCCAAATCAAAAACTCTTTCCTCCTTCTCAATCGAACAACAAAAATCAAAATTAGATGGACTAAGCCCATAATCCAACTCTTCCCGACCCTCAAAACCCATTTCCTTCGAATTTAACGAATCCAAGTACAAAAATAATTTAGGTATTGAGTATTCTACCTAATGATAGTGATGAAGTCACCGTCATTAATCGTTTCTACTCCTTCTTTATTTTGAATCGATTGGTGTCAATAAGGATTGTAAATCAAAGAAACAAGAATAAAAAAAAGATTACTTAGGGTGTTGATTGCGAGTGCTTAGCTAAGGAAGAATAGATGGTAATGGACAATTGATACTTCAATTGGTAAGCCGATATTCTTTTGAAACCCAAAAATTGTAGAAGCTAATTTGGTGATACCAACCCCAAAATCACCTTTATTCAAAAGCCTAGCAAGAACTCTAACCTCTAAACTCTTTAAAATGTCTCAATTTCCCTCATTGTGTTTTTTAATCCTCTTAGTTCCTTTCTATCACCTCGATTTCTTTCTTTTTGTTTTCCCACAACTCTCTCCCTAAGATTTCCCATAGTTCTCTCCCAAATATTTCCCACGGTTCCTCTCATTTTGCTTTCCCCTAATTCTCTATTCTATTCTCCCTAATTCTCTCGCTCTCTCCAAGTCTCCCCTAACTCTCTCCTTTTTCTACAATTCCCTAATCCTCTCTTCTATTTTCCCCAATTCTTTATTATTTCTTCCTTCTTCTTTTTTTTTTTCCTAGAAACCCTAATTAGACTCCTATTTATACCCAAAGATCCCCTAACCTCTCTTGGGATCAACTCTTATAACTCCAAAAGCTTCCCTCCTAGAACAAACTCTCTAGCTTTGGTATCAATTTTGGCTCTGTCTAAACAAAGTAAAAGAATTATGTTTTTTGTCCGTGTGTTATGCTTTGCATGTCGAGTGTTGTTATTCCGTAAGTTGGTGCAAATACAAGAGCTACAAGTTGGCCAGCTTTATCCCTCTCGCAATGTCGTCTTCATTGATGAAGATAAATAGTGCCGGAGGATGGTAGAGTACAGGAGCGGACATGTTGGGATGTTGTTGGAAGGACCCGAATGACAAGTCGTTTGGGTGATTCTAAGTTGGTCCTATCGTTCATGTCTTGTGTCAAATTAGGTCCTTGTAGGTTTAATTTTATTTCAATTGTACCATGCATTGTAGTCCATGCGCTTTTAATTTCTTTAATTAAGTCCTTGTATCTTGTAATTTTAGTCGAGGGTTTTCAATTGCTTCAACTGTACCCTTAATTGCTCTAATTTTGATTCAATTATGCCCTTGATATAATAATAATTATTATTATTTGTATATTGTAGTTTATATATATATATATATATATTGTGGTAAATTCTAAAATGAAAATAAAATAAAAATACAAATTAAAAAGTTCAAACAATAGTAAAAATAAAAATAGCATAAAATAACATAAATAAAGATAAAATTAAAATTAAAAAAAAAAAAAAGATAAAAACATTTAACGGGGGAAATTTTTTATTATGACAGTATTGATATCAATTCGTTTCGTTTGTCAAGCTAATTTGACCTCATTCTAGTCGCTTCGAGGAATGATCATAAGTCCGTTTCTGATTCCAATTGCTCTAAGAAAAAAACTAGTTTCCACAAGTTAGTCAAGAAAATGATTACCTTTTATGTTATTTGTTTATAAATCTTCCTTCGGTCAAGAAAATGACTTCCAATTGCTCCAGATAATTTTTTCCACAAGTTTTGGCAGGTTCATTGCAGCATCTGAAGCTTACAATAATTAAAAGATGACTCCTCTAAATTTGTATGCTAATATTTTCTCGTATGGTAGTTGATCGGTTACTTTCTTTCAACTCAGCTGTTCAAAATGGGACCATTCACACGCGCACACACCACACTGGATCATTTTATATATATGGTCATGAAATAATTGCACTTAGCCATTGTTTTACATTGTATCCTCCAGATCTTGCTGTCCAAATTGAGCTTGTTCTTGGCTGTGTATATGGATTCATCAAGAATTTCCCTTCGTCCCTTTAAGCTCTCCGATGTTGATGACTTCCTGAAATGGGCTAGTGATGATAGAGTGACGCGTTATCTAAGATGGAACTCCTTTACCTCAAGAGAAGAAGCATTAGCACATCTTGAAAAGGTTGCCATAATCCACCCTTGGCGTCGGTCCATATGTTTGGATGATCGTTCAATTGGATACATTTCCATCTTCCCGGAATCTGGTGATGATCGATGCAGGGCAAACTTTGGATATGCATTGGCTCCTGAATATTGGGGACAAGGAATAGCCACAATTGCATCGAAGACGGCAGTGTCTAGTGTGTTTCATGATCTTCCTTATCTGGTTAGGCTTCAAGCTCTTGTAGAGGTGGAGCATCGAAGTTCTCAGAGGGTACTGGAAAAGGTTGGGTTTGTGAAAGAGGGTCTGTTAAGGAAATATGGGTATATTAAAGGTGAAATTAGAGATATGCTTGTCTATAGTTTCCTTTCAACAGACTTCGTTTTGTAATTCATATATGGTCATTAAGACAATCGCAGTGCATCCCTTTGCTCTGTTCATTTTTCCTTTCTTTCCTTCGTTTTTGGATAAATCAGGATGGATTTTTTTAAACATAAGAAAGTATAAAAATTTCAACATGCATTTACCAGGAATTATTATAATTTATCAAATACTTCTCCATCCAGACAATCATCTTTCGCTCTGCCGTATTGTCATCATTCCTATCTTTGTTATGAAAATTCTCAAAGCAAACTTAAGTACAATGATAGATCATAGATGCGGGCAAGATAGTGTCATCTGGAATTATTGAAAAATTAATCGATCCAAGTTAATTTTCCTACAGTAATCCTTTAGTTCTTTCAACTCAGAGACTTTTGAGTTTGCAAATTGCAAGCCAAACCAAAATAGATACAGGTAACAAAGAAACATTAGTTGGTCAACGAAAGCTCAAATTTTTCTAGACCTCTTTCCTTCATCCTCTTTCAAATTTCAGAATTCTTTCTCTTTTATAAGCATCAGTTGGTCAACAAAAGCTGAGATTTTCCTAGACCTCTTTCCTTCATTCTCTTTCAAATTTCAAAATTTTCTATCTTTTATAAGCATCAGTGTATAAAAATTCTTCTATCAATAGCATCAACCTGCCACGTATGTTAGGCAACTTTGTTCCATGTTAGGAACTTTCCTACTTAGAGGAATAAAGAAAGGTCAAACAAGGTGGCCATAACACTAGCACTTCAGCAGCCACAATTATTTTATTTTTATCCATTAAAGTATGCACTCCTTGCTTGCCACTCCAAGTAATGCAAAATTGACCCTTTGGAAGACTTAGACCCCAAATTTGTTTCGTTTCATGCTTTAGTTCCAGGCAATTCCTTGTGGTCAAATATTATAGTATATCATTCAAGTACTAGCATTTTCTTCTGTGTAAAATCACCGGGTTACTACTAGTCTACTTGATATTTCATTCATTTTAAACATATCAAGCTCCTACTTGAATTACGAAGAATCTTAAGCTCTGATCTCAAAAGCGTTTATATAGGTGGAGAGGACAGATGGAGCAAAATTCTTTCACATCAGACCTGTCTAAGGAGAGTGGTGATGAATTCTCTGATATCTCACTTCGGCCTTTGGATCTCTCCGATATCGATGATTTCATGGTTTGGGCTACCGATGCGAAAGTTGCTCTGTTTTGCTCTTGGGAACCTTACACTAGCAAAGAAGATGCCTTGAATTACATCAAAAATTCTGTTCTACCCCATCCATGGTTTAAGGCAATATGCCTTAACAACAGGCCTATTGGTGCCATTTCAGTGACCAAAAATTCAGGTAACGATATATGTAGAGGTGAACTTGGCTATGTTTTGGCTTCCCAATACTGGGGAAAAGGGGTTGCAACAAAGGCAGTGAAGTTGGTGGCTAAAACTATCTTCGTTGAGTGGCCACATCTGGAGAGATTAGAAGCTTTAGTAGATGTACAAAATGAAGGCTCACAAAGGGTGCTAGAAAAGGCTGGATTCAAGAGGGAAGGTGTCCTGAGAAACTATTTTATTCTGAAGGGAAGATCTCGAGACATGGTGATGTTCAGTCTTCTCTCTACTGATCCTCAAATTTGATTGCTATGCAAATTATTGTAATAGTTTCATAAATAGTGTGTGTACTGTTAATTATGAGTGGAAAATGATTCTATCAAATTGAAAACGATTGCTTAGAAATGAATAAATTTTAGAGATGATTAATTATGTGCATCTATTGTCATTCGGGTTTTAACCCCTCTATTCGTAGCCATGTCTTTGAAAAGGTTTTATGAGATCAATCCCAATTATGTTAGTGCTTTATGCAGATGGGTAATATTAGTTCTTAGTGACAGCTACTCCATTCAATTTTCTTCGAAAATCAGAAGGCAGCATTTTATTAGTATTAATAGTACCTGTGCTCATGGTGCAAGAACTTTACGCCAATGTAGAAGTAGGCACTTAGCCGAGAAAAGAAGAAAGATGCCAGAACAATGGATCATGACTATGGGACAGCCAAGTGGTTGTGATAATAAAATAATACGAATAAGACAAAAAGCCGAATTGTTTTAATAATAAAATAACCCAACTAAAGCAAAAGGCTATGGTCGTCGACATTTCAAAAGCTACAATACTCAAAAATTGGAATTTAAACAAATAAATTTTTTTTTTAATTACTTGTCGCGTCATCTCCTTTGGCTTTCCAATACGGTTCTTTTTGGTGGTTCCGTATATTTTGAATTTCAAAATTCAAAGCTAAATCCTAATATTTCAAATTGAATTACAAAGACCAAAAAAAGGGCTAAGAATTTTATATTACTCATAAAATAATTAATATAAATTATTTTATATAAGAGAAATAGATAAAAAAAAAGATAGAAAAATTAAAAACAAAAAAATAATAAGATGGAGAAAATTTTTAAAAATTAAGTTAGGAGGAAGTCTTTTTACTATTTTGGTGAATTTAGATGTAATTTTTTTTTTTGTTTATCTCTCTTCTAAAAAATGAGCATTAAAAATAACTATATCTATGTATAGTAATGATTTTTTGAGTATTTTAAAATTTATCCAAAAATGGCTACAAATCCTTAAAAAAAATTCAAAGAAATATGAATAGTGGGCTGAAATCAAAGAGTTTTTAGAGAAGTTAGAAGGAAAATTTTGAATTGGATTTGATTTTCGAAATCAAACTTTACAGACTTAAAAAAAAATTAAAAATATAAAAAAAGTTCCCAAGGTAGTGTTTTTAAAATTAATACAACTAATTGATAATTTACTCGTTAAAATTAATTAATTACTTTCCCAAAAACAAAAAGTTAAAAAAAGGCGGCCATGGCTTTAGACCTTTAGCAGCCAGCATTTTCTTTCTGTATCCAATAAAGAATTAATGCACTCCTTCCTTGCCACTCCAAGTAAAATTAACCCTCTGAAACTGAAAAACTCAGAACTCGATTTTGTTTTGTTTTATGCTTTAGTTCCAGGCAGTACCGTGTGGACAATTGTGGTCATATAACATATCGTATTTAAGTAATGGCATTTCCTTCTGTGTAATATTAACAGGCTGCTTCTACTCTACTTGATACTTAATTCATTTTAAACATATCAAGTTCCTACCTGAATTACCAAGAATCTGAGGCTTCAATCTGTTGTCAAAAGGGCTTACATAAGTGGAGTTAATTTATAGATATATGGAGCAAAATTCTTTCACGTAAGACTTGTTAAAAGAGGGTGGTGATGAATTCTCTGATGTCTCACTTCGGCCATTGGATCTCCCCGATATTGATGATTTCATGGTTTGGGTTAAGTTGCTCGTTTTTGCTCTCGGGAACCTTGCACTAGCAAAGAAGATGCCATGGGTTATATCCAAAATTCCGTTCTACCTCATCCATGGTTTAAGGCAATATGCCTTAACAACAGGCCTATCGGTGCCATTTTAGATTCCAAAAAGTTCAGGTAGCGATATATGTAGAGGTGTAATTGGCTATTTTTTTGGCTTCCCAATATTGGGGCAAAGGGGTTGCAACAAAGGTAGTGAAGTTGGTGGCTAAAACTATATTTGTTGAGTGGCCACATCTGGAGAGATTAGAGGCATCCGTAGATGTACAAAACGTGGGCTCACAAAGGGTGCTAGAAAAGGGTGGATTCAAGAGGGAAGGTGTTCTGAGAAAGTATTTTATTCTGAAGGGAAGATCTAGAGACACGGTGATCTTTAGTTTTCTCTCAATTGATCCTCAAATTTGATTAGGATGCAAATTATATGTAGTAATAGGTTCAAAAATAGCATGTGAACTGTTAGTTATGAGTGAAAAATGATTCTATGAAAGAGAAACGCATGTTCGGAAATGAATTAATTTTAGAGATGATTAATTGTGTGCGTCTATTGTCGTTGGGTTTTTTAACCCCTCTTATTCTTAGCCATGCCTTTGACAAGGTCCTCTCGAGTTCAATCCCTATTATTGTTAAAAAAGAAGGAAGTCATAGTATATAAAAAGGTAACATATCACAACTAACCAAATTTATATTACAATATCTCAATTTGACAAACATGAAGAGAAAGAGTAGCTTCACTTTATACCAAAGGTGAACCAGTTGAAATTATCCAAAAAAAAAAAAAAAGAAGTCGAACCAGTTTATAAAAGGCTACGAAGCAGTATACACGAGCCATCGAGGACATGATATTTCCCAAGATACTATTCTCGAGGAAGCCTGCAGCCTTCTACAGCACCTTCTGTGATTTTCTTTAATTTTGTAATATCAATATAATGTAACAATTACCTCAATCACGTGAGAAACATCAACTTAGGCCTCAATATATGATTTCGTAATTAATTGAATTCAAAATCTCTTAATTTTGATCAATTTTATTTCAAACATAATCTATATTAAATAATATCATTCCTCCATTCATTTATTGATAGAGACAAATAACAAATTTCCTCTTATTTCATATAATTTTCACGTGCTCATTACTTCTTCTTAAAAGGACTCCAAAATAAGTATTAATAAGTCCTACTATACAATTTTAGTACCAAAATAATTGTAGAGGAAAATGTTATGAGATGAGCATACATAAATTTTCCTCCATTTAGGGCATGCAATAGTCAAGGAAAAGTTGTACATTATAGCTTATTTGGAGATTTATTTTGATGCTTCTTTGGAAGAAATTACTAAGAATTAATGAGCACATGCAAATTATTTTTAAATTTGGTAGAATTTTTTATTATTGCTAACTATAAATGAATGTAAGGATGACATTATCCTTATCCTTATTATTATTATTATTACGTTTGTGATAAAATTGAAAAAATAAGAGGTTAAGAGGTTTGAGACTCGGTTAATAATGAAACCGCATATTTCAAACTCGAAACCTTGAAACTAAAATTAGGTTTCTCCTAAATTTAATATGAATGGTTTTATATAGTATTGTTCCTTAACATAAAAAGGAACATAATGAAATAATAAAATTCATATAATAAATTAATAAATAAATTTATCATAAATTAAGATGAATAAAAAATTAGAATTTTTTACTTTGATCATTGGGAAAATTAAAGATTAAAACAACGTTACCATATTTCATGGTATAAAGATAATCGAACTTTCATAATAGTTTTAGCGAGAATTTTTAAGTGATTGACTCGAGACGCAACTATATTGCTTTCTTGAGACGATACACATCGTTTGTAAAATTTATCCGATGCAACAGATTAAGAATATATTGCATATCATCTTAGGAATATAACAACTCCAACTACTATATTGCAAGATTCAAATTATGAGTATGCAAAATACTCTAAGTTGATGACTTTTTAAGTAATCGGTTACCTTCATCACAAATGTTAATAGTCGCATAAAAAGGCATGTGATCACTTAGAAAAAAGCTACTAAGGCCTTGAAACGATGAAGAGTTTAGGATGCTTAAACAAAAAAATTTTGATCAAAGAAAATCTCTGTTTATTGCCTTACTTGTAGTGGTAGAAAAGAGGTAAAAATAAAATTAGTGTGGCATGCCTGGATTATGTTTAGTTATAAAGATGCATAAATTAATTTAGAGACACGTATTGATATGATAATAATATCTTAAATGAGTTAATTGTTGAATTTTGTTGAATTAAATTGAGTATCAATATTTGAAGAACAATTATATTGACATGACATTTGTTTATACGATTTTATGAGTTTATCTTCCGAAAGCCCTTACGAGACACAATTCGTCCACTCGAGGGTAACCTAGGGGTTTAAAGGCTTGTTGCATATGCTAAATACAACCATAATTCCTACGAAAGTGAGTTAGGTTTTATTTTATTTTACTTAAGGACTAGTAAAATTTAAGTGTATAGGTATTTGATGAGTGCATAATTAGCATAATTTTTATGCTCTATTACATGAAACTTTCTCATAATTACTCGTATTATATTATGTTGTTTAAAAATAAGATGACGGTTTTGGGTTTTGTAGGAAAAACGACAATCGAAGCAAGGAAACCCAAAACCGAAGTAAGGAGAAAAAAGCTTCAAAGAGTCTTAAGAGAGCTACACGACCGTGTGAAATAACAAAAAAAAATAGCTATTGGTCGTGTGACTTAAAGGAATAAACTATGTGGATTCTTAAGCACAACAAGCCATAAGAGCAAAAGCATTCCACCCAACTAGAGGAAGGAATCTCACACAGTCGTGTGGGTGATTTAACTAGCAAAACTCAAGGAAGGAAAAAGACCATACGGGCAATAGACTTTACACACGAGTTTACGGTGTAAAGTCACACACCCATGTCTATAAGGCAAAGCAAGTGTACACGGACATAAGAGGTTCAACACGATTTGAAAAAGAAATATACACAAGCAAAAGCAGATAATGAAGAACAAAGGTATAAGATCATGTGCCTAATTAGCAAGTCATGTAACACTTATTTTTTAAGGCTTCAAATTGTGTGATATCAATCAACAAATCATGTGATTTTATTTATCAAGACATGTGGCCATATGAAGTTGACACGCACGTGATGTAACCCTAGTTTTAAGTAAAAATAGCAAAGTTAGGGTATTATTTGTCTCTCCTCTTCCAATCTTTAGCAGACCACTTTTCATATAAAATTTCTCTCGTAATTCATTATGAACTCCATTTTTGGTTGAATCAAGTTGAAGCTTTTGGTTAATCGCTGTGAGATTACTCGGTTTTATTTCTAAACTTATATTTATTTGGTATTTTATATTTTTCTACATGATTGATTCATAATCATATGATTAAATTAATTAGAGTGCACACTAGTTGTTTAGCCATATTACTTATGCTAGCTAAGTATTCAAGTCTCGTGTAATTGCTTGTCTAAACTTACCTCGTGGTAGTAACTAGGGGTTGATGATTACGTGGTATTTTCATTCAATTCCTTAAAAAACATCGAACTAGGTTACATCTTTTCTAGTGCTTAGGAAGGTGGCTTAGCTTCACCTATCTTTCCGATTTTAATACTCGTTATTGGATTAAATTTATTTAGCACTTAGTAGGTTATTCAATAACTAAGAAATTAATTAGGTATCGTATATTAAGTTAATAACTAAGGAAAGACTGGGATCAATATACATGTTATTATCTTACGATAAATATTTATATTTAGGATAAGTTACTTATTTAATCGATGATTAGTGAACAAACTAAAGTTTAATGGATACTAAAGTTCAACCAAGACCTCTGTAATATTGTTACTCTTTACTACTCTATATTGTTTTCAAACAATCTAAACACACAACCCCTTGTTACACTCGCAAGAACACTTGAATAACCGAAATAATTGACTGATTTCCTTTTCGTGGCTTCCTTAAACCCTAAACCCTTACTTGTCCTTGTTACATAACCGTGATTGAAACATCTATAAGGACAAATATAAATTATTAATTTATTGACAGTAGGACATCCCATCATGTATGTTTCAAGAAAGGCATGCTAAGGAAATGATCTAGTGTATACTTTTAGTATATTCATAAATGGCTCACAAAGAGTGATCCGGCGTATAATCTTTATAAAGATGACATAAAACATATTTTCGTATCATGAACAATGGATTTGCTTGCATTCATGCATGATTACAATTACCGAGCATTAGCTCACCATTTATCTTGTAATGTAGGTGAACAAAATAATGCATGATAGTTTGAGGTGAAGTTGAAGATGTTGCGTGAGGAGCTAAGTTTGCCAAGTGTATACTATAGATGTAGGTTAAAATTGAAAGGATAAGTAATACCTACGTTTGGCCGCTTTTGTGTCTCCTTTGTTGAATCATTTTGGTTTATAAACTTATGTTACTTTGGGCAAACTTTAGTATGTTAACGAATATGTGAGTTTGGAAGTTTATGAAAAGGTTTTATGTTTTGAAATAATGCAATGGTTTTATACATGTAAGGTTTAATGAAATGGTCTCTAATTGTGAAACTTGAAACGATTTTATGTTTAATGAAATTTGAATTGGCCTTACATATGTTTAATCCATAGTTTACCTTAGATTTTAAACCAAAAGTTTTTCGTTATGCATTATATTTCATACACGAAATAGAAGACATGAGGCTTAGTGTCTTGTATCCCATGAGTGTGAGGCATTGCTGGCAACACTTTAGCCTCCTTAGAGCAAGGGTGTTACATAATCATGCCTTTCTTTTCTTTTCTTTTTAACATAAACGGATGACAAATCACTCATATATGTTTTTTAAATAAAAAATGACGCATAACCTACTCGTTTTTTCCGATGATGCTTCAATTGCTAAAAAATCAAGGGCCACGGCCCACGGGCTCCAAAACATCATTTTCCCGCCATTTTGAACCAAAAACACCTCAAACTCATCCCGACGACCTCTCTAAACCCGTTTCCAACTTCAAAACCTATTCTAGTCCATTTTAAATGCTTTTAAATTGAAACCAAAGTTTAAAAACAAAACATATCCTGGCTTTTATCTCTCTCTCTCTCTCTCTCTCTTTTGTCATAGATGATTTTTTTTTTTTTTTTTATGGAAACCAATCAATTCAACTCATTTATGCGACTTCTTTGACATTTTTTTTTTTACTAGAATAGTTGTCGGATAAATCATTTTGTTATCTTCTCACTCTTGCCTTATTTCTTCTCGATTTGTGCCTCGTTTTCTAGAAACGAAACGTGGACCAAATTTTAATAGAAATAAAATTCAAAGACCAAGTGCATAGGAACTTCAAACACCATGGATTAAAATGAATATATATTTTTAAAAGAATCACTAATCTTTTTTTTTTTTTTTTTTTTTTTTTTTTTTTAAGAAAATGATGTCGTTTCATGATTGTAAAAACCTTAAACGAAGTTGTTTTCAGTCCTGATGAACAATATAATATCGTATCTAATCCACATTGCACTTGTGCCTAGAGTAGCCATCTCGCTATATTAAAACATCATGCTCTTTTTATTTCATTTTAATTTAAATTAATTTCCCACTTGAAGCTTTTGAATTGTTTCAATTCACCCCTAAAACTATGTTCTGTCTCATGAATCCATCCGTCGACAAAACACTATTTATTGCTTTGATTGATACCTAGAAGTTTTCATAAAATTTTAATCAAATACGCAATTATATCAAAATTCATAAAAATTATCTCATTAGAATTTAAAAAGTTATTTATATGCATCTACTTTACACCACATACAAAGCATAAACTTAGTATGAGGACCTTTGCCAAAAATCAAATGGAAACAACTTTTACAAAATCTTGTAAATTGGAATCTACGGAGAAGGATGATAAGAAATGCGAGAAAATTAAATTTTGATTTCATTATTGATGAGTGCTTTTATTGGTGGATTAGCGATTGGTGTTGCTGGAAGTGATGGATCATACAGGTGATGACAGTTTTTTTGGATGATATATTCTTATTATTTTTTTTTTACAATTATTTTTTTATTGATGTTTGAGTGAAACGTTTTATAAACTTTAAGAAGTCAATTGAGAGAGAGAAAAAATGTTACATCATCAATTTTGTTGATTTTTAAATAAGAATTTATATAAAAAAAAGTTGATCGTTGGATTACATCCTAATGATTTTGAGATAAAACAAAGTTGAATCGTGATATTGAGATTAATTTGATAATTAGGTCCATTTCTAGCCATATTCTAATCTATCTTCATACATAATACATGTACACACAAATAAATTTTTACTTTTCTCTCTTACTAGTATTTGAATAATTATTTTCTCTTTTGTCAACCAACAACTTACCTTCCAATCTCATATCAAACATATCAACTATCGTTAGAAATTAACTTTACATAATAACAATTAATTTTGTAAGAATTTACCTTCAACTTTAACGCCAACATTGAGAAATTTTTATCAAATTAGAATATGACAGAATCTACAGAGCTAACACGATTTACCCCTCATCGTACCTCATGCTGGTGCTTGATCCAGATCGGTACTTCTGATCTAAAATCAGAAAGCAGCATTTCATTAATAATAATAGGACCTAAGCCCATTGTGTAAGGGCTTTAAGCCTAGATACAAGCAAGCACTTAGCCTAGAAAAGGAGAAGAAAGATACAAAACTAAATATCTGGAGCTAGGCCACGGAGGGTTTTATACCTAACCCAAACAAAAAGAGGTTTTTTTTTTTTTTTTTAACACTAATATACTTTCAAATCTTATTTTGCATAATGATGTACTTTTAATCTTTTTTTTTAAAAAAATACATTTTATACAATCTAAGTTCGTATGAAAAATCCATGTAATTTTTTTTCTCAAAATAATAACTATTTGACGTAAAAAATAATTAAGAAACAAGAAAATAATGTGAATTTTGGAAAGAGAACCGTTTTGGTATTATAAAATTTAAACCTCAATCCAAAATTATAAAAACTCTACAGTCTATAAGCTTTAACAAACAAATGCTTCTTCTTCTTCTTCTTCTTTTTTATCCATCTTCATATTCCTGTCTTTTATATATATATATAAAATTCTCTATACATTCAACTATATTTTGTATTAAGAAAAGAAACAGAAAGATCAAAGGAAGAATTAAAAAAAATAAAAAAATAATAACAAACAGAAAGGAAGGTAAAATAGAGTTAATTGATAGATTTATATTAACTTTATGACGAATTACCTAAACAATATTAATAATTCAGAATTCTAAGAGTTAAAAAAAAATAAAATTTTTACTTCAAATTTGATAAGAACCCTAATTATAAAAAGAAAGCAAAAGAGAAAGAGGAGGAGAAAAAAGCTAGGACAAAATAACATTTTAATGATGATATTTATCTTGTTAGCTAGCTAGAGAGATTGACCATACATGAAGAAAAAATAGTGTACAATTGTTTGAATTAAGATTTTTTCTTTCATAATTTTTACTATATTTATTGATTATCAAAATAAAAAATAAATGATTCAACATAAAATGACATGGAAAATTGAGCTTACAAGGGGGGGGGGGGGGGGGGGGGGGAAGCAACCTTAATTTAGCAAATAAGATTTAAAATGTCTCATTTTAAGATTTTGAAGTATCCTAATTTGGGGGAAAAAACACCAAACAAATATGGCACAACCCAGCCCACACAACATCTATTGCAAACCCTTAAAACAGAAAATCAAGGAAACCCACAAATTATGGATTGATCAGACCCTTTCATCGTAAGGCCTTTTGTCATTTATTCCACTAACAAAATTATTATCCAGCTTTCAGTAAAATTGACTTTGTAAAAGACTTGACCACAACTTTATTTTGTTTTTATGTTTTGGTTCGGGGCAATTTCTTTTGGTATAAAATTATTTGGTTGCTGCTAATCTTTTCTTGGGAGTATTGACGTACGAGTGGAGAGTCCAAATGGAGCAGATTTCTTTCACATCAGAATTGTTAAAAGAGGTTGGTGATGAATTCTGTGATGTCTCCCTTCGGTCACTGGATCTCTCAGATATTGATGATTTCATGGTTTGGGCTACAGATGAGAAAGTGGCTAATTTTTGTGGTTTCGAACCTTACACTCGCAAAGAAGCCGAGGACTACATCCAATCTTTTGTTCTACCCCATCCATGGTTTAGGGCAATATGCCTTAACAGCCGGCCTATTGGTACCATTTCATTGACCAAAAATTCAGGTAGCGATAGATGCAGAGGTGAAATTGGCTATCTCCTGGCTTCCCAATACTGGGGCAAAGGGATTGCAACAAAGGCAGTGAAGATGGTGGCTAAAACTATCTTCGTTGAGTGGCCACATCTGGAGAGACTAGAAGCTTTAGTAGATGTACAGAATATGGGCTCACAAAGGGTGCTAGAGAAGGCTGGATTCAAGAGGGAAGGCGTTCTGAGAAAGTATTGTATTCAAAACGGAAGATCTAGAGACATGGTGATGTTTAGTCTTCTTTCTACTGATCCTCAAGTTTGATTGCTCTCACAAATTAATATAGTAGTAATTTAGTTTCATAAATAGTGTGTGAATTGCTTGCAAATGAATGATTTAAGTTTTTGGAGATGATTTATGTGCATCTATCATTGGAATTTTTTACCCCTTTCTTAGCGTCTTCAATTCCTCGGCATTTTCTAAAGCAAGTTCATCCTGGTAGCAAACTAGACGTGTATACAGCAATCAAGCAGTCAGATCTCTAACTTCATAGTACACTATCTCAAACCGACAAACATGAAGAGAAAGACCCAGTTCAGTTAAAAAATTAATTACTTGGTAAAACTGTAAAGATTAACATCAATAGTCTTACCCTTGACAGCAAAATATTTCCTTAGCATACCTTCCTTCAGAAAACCAGCCTTCTCCAGCACCATTTTTGAGGCTTTATTTTCAACATCAACATAACCTTCCAATCTCTCTATTTCTGGGAACTCATTAAACACATTGGAAATAACCATTTTCACTGCCACTTATGGTTATGCCTTGGCCCCAATACTTCGATCCTAAAGCATAGCCAATCAGACCCCTACATTTATCATGGCCAGAGCCTGGCTGGACTGATATATATATATATATATATATATATATATATATGGCCATTGATAATTCTCGAAAATAAAAAGAAAGAAATTGTGGCCCTGATGCTAGCTATATTTACTTTGCCAGAATCACCATTTCCTGGACGCAACTGCTATAATTAACATGAGGTGACCATCTCCTCCAAAAGAAGCCCAAACAGACTCATAAGTCACTCAACCAATGGAAATCACACTGCGACCATATCAACCATCTGATTTAGACGACTTCATGGAATGGGCATGCGATGATGAAGTGGTCAATCGCTGCAGTTTAAGGCACTATACATCAAGAGAAGATGCCCTTGTTACCGTGCCATATATATATATATATAAGCTAAATTTAATTAGATTGTGCATATGGATTAGAATGGATAATTATTTATAAAGGTACTAGCTAGCTTCTTATAAACTTTTTATTGACTACTAGTAATTATTGATAGTAACTCATGGGTAATATTATATATTTGATTAATATAATATTAATATTTACAATATATTTCGGTGCTAATATATGAATTCTTTCCCATCTCTAATTAAAAAAAAAAATCATTTAAAAAATTTATTAATTTTCTAAAAAATAAATCAATCCCATTTACGAATTATTTTTCTATTTGTACATTATATAAACTCTGAAAAACATAAAATAAACTTTCTAAATCTTTCTAACATATAAAATACCTTATAGATCTTGTCTATCAAAATTATATAAATGTTTAAAACAAGCCAATAAAAATCAATAATATTAAAATAATAAATAATAAACGAAATCATAATTCAATTAATTATTAAATTGAATTCTAAATTATTTTTTATGAATGATTTTTTTTATTATTTTCCTATGCTATTTTTAATTTTTATAGATGAAAGAATTCGTAACATTTGCATTATTTCTTTTGACAAATTCTACTAATATTAAAAAAATATTAATAAGTTGGATCTTAAGTTTATTTTATTTTATTTTATTTTTATAATAGATTTTTCAATTGGCTTTTAACTGTTTTTTGGATGAATATTAGCATGTGACATTCAATAATTTATAATTTTTTTTCTTGTGCATTTGCAATAGTTTTCAACGATAACTATTTACTAAATACATGTAATGAATTTTTTTTAAAAAAGATTATCATTATCATATCTGATTTTCATCATACGATCAAAATAATTTTTTACTTCATATTTTTGTAATGGACGCATTAAAAAAATATTCATTAAAAAGTTATGTAGGAGGAACTTACGATATGTTTTGGTACCATCGTATAAAGATTATCAAATATATATATATGATAATCTTTATTTTTTCATCATTTATAATCAAAGTAACTTAAATTTGAAAGTGAAGATCTCTTAATGTTAATATATAATTTTTCTTATTCAATTCTTCTTGGTAATTTATAATTTACATTTACATATTGGTAATTGATTTATAGAATTTTGACATCCTCTCCCTCAACCTGAACGGTCTGAAAAAATTATAAGTAAATCTCACTTTGTTACTCTCCTTCTTTATTTCCTTCTTTCTAAACACTGAAAAACCTCTCAGCTCAACAATGGATCCACTCTCCGCACTCCGCGACTTCACCATCCGCGGCGACCTAGACAAAATCATCCGGGTCAACGACGAATTCCGCTTCGGCAACGAATATACCTTCCCTTGCTCAACTAAAACTGCTTACCGTTCCAAACAAGGCAATCTCTACACACTAGAAACCCTAGTTTACTGCATCCAAAACACCAAAATTAAGTTCACCGATTACCTCCAAGACGCTCTTGCTCTCGGCATCCCAGCAGTCACTTACATCGACTGGAAACCCGTCAAAGAATACCTCTCTGGCAAACTCTCCTCTACCGATTCCATCGTTTTCCCTCTCCCTCAAGAATCTCAAAACCCTAATCTTAATTATCGCCCCGATGATCCCATGCTTTTTGATTCTCGAGTCGATGATTCCGCCTTTTCTGATAAGTTGGAGAATGAGAATGAGAGAGTTGAAAATTATGTGTCTTTGATTTACGCCAATGAGAGACCGTTGAAGGATAGGGAGTCGTTATTGGAGTGTAAGAATAGGGATTTTTATGGGGTTTTGGTTGCGTCTACTCGGCGTGAAGAGGAGAGGCAGAGATTTGAGAGTCAACAGAGGAAAGATGGGTTAGTGGCGAAGAGTAGGTTAATGGGAGCTGATGAGAGAGGAATGGGGTACGTTGGTGATGAATTGGGTTATGATTCGGCAGCCAAGCCCAAAATGCATTTGAAAGGAGGTAAAATTGGAGAGGGAGTGCCCATAATTTTGGTGCCGAGTGCTTTCCAGACTTTGATTACGATTTATAACGTGAAGGAATTTTTGGAAGATGGGGTCTTTATACCCACGGATGTGAAGGCTAAGCAGATGAAAGGACCGAAACCTGAGTGTGTTACAGTGCAGAAGAAGTTTAGTACTGATAGGAATAGAGTGATGACGGCTTATGAGGTGAGGGATAAGCCGTCTGCACTTAAGGCGGATGATTGGGATAGGGTTGTGGCAGTTTTTGTGTTGGGGAAAGAGTGGCAATTCAAGGATTGGCCGTTTAAGGATCATGTTGAGATATTTAATAAAAGTAAGTGAAGTTTGGTTATTGTTGGATTGAATTGGTAGTTATTTTTGGGATTTGTACTTTGTAGGTGATTGGTGTCGGTTGATTCTGTAGGTTTTGCAAGATTGTGATTCTTATATCATAATATCGTTTATTTTGAAATCGTACTCGTATTCAATTGGCATAATATAAATTGCTTAAACCTATGCAGTTATTGGATTTTTCATGCGGTTTGAAGATGATAGTGTGGAGTCAGCAAAGATTGTGAAGCAGTGGAATGTAAAGATTATCTCGGTGAGTATTTTTCTCCTCTGATTAGATTAGCTTTGCTGGGTGGCACTTGGTACTCTGAGCCTGTCTCTTAAACTTCAGTAACTTTATGCCATTTAACAGTCAATGAGAGTTCGCGTTTTATATATGCAGATTAGCAAGAACAAGAGACACCAGGATAGGGCTGCAGCATTGGAGGTGTGGGACAGACTAGAAGAATTTGTGCGCTCACGATCACACACTTGAAGTGTGTAGACTCTTAGAAGTTTGTATATATATTTTCTTTTCCCTAAATCCTATCTATGTTTGCATATCTTTGAATTTGGCAAACATATATATGGGTATCTGTTAACATATTTCTGGTTTGCGGTGAATGCATTATGTTTAGACAGTGGGTTAAACTAATTGATTTTCTTTGAAGCATATGTTATTAGCGTGCTGATTGTTATTCCCCCAAGTATAAGTTGCCAGTTTTTAATGAATGGACGTGGATGGAGTGTAGAAATATTGGAATTAGGAACAGAAACAGAAACAATTGGGAAGTAGTGTTGGATATGATTTGGGTTTTTAATTTGGAATTTGATTGACGTAATAGATGGGACTGTGAAGCAAAGCTGTTTTCTGGTTCTCTTAAAGCTTATGGAAGGAATGCAATTAGCATTTCTTGTTAGATAGCATGCCTTTCCATGCAAACCATCTATATTTCCTAGTTTTGTTGATGGTGATGCCTGGAATACAGGCTGGAGCTATTCTCTGTTCTCTTTTTCTGGGTTTTGGTGATATTGATCTTATAGGTTTTGGTTGTCTGTCACGGTGCACTCAATAGCATATCAGTGCCAAAAGTTTGTATCTCAGTGACACAAAAAAGAATACTTGTCCAAACTGCAGCTATATGTAAATGTGGAGTCTGATAGTTTTCTCCTTGTCGACCATCTTGCGGCACAGCCTGGAGATTTTAATGAATAGCCATTGATACAAGCAATAATGAAGATTCCATACTGATTCTCAGAGCAGATTAACTTTGCTTGAAGTGAGTGGATAAAATTAACAATTTTATCCAAACTCATAATGGGTTGAATAAATCCTAGTTTCTATGAACATGCTGAAAAGAAGAAAAGCCCATTTGAATGGCCCGTCAATATTATCATGGCTATTTGCAAAGACATTGTTTTTGGATATGAGTTTTGAACGTGTTCTAGATCACTAACTCAGTTATCAAATTAGCTTGTTTTAGTTTGTTCTTTAACAAGCCAAGTTAGAGCAACTGAACAAAACAAAAAACAAGAAGGGTTAGACTGATATTCCAGGTCTTTATTCTGCATACCACTATTCAATTTGCAACAGCTTGAACCAGGAAATCCTGCTCCATTCTTGGCTAGTATAATTATTCAAACTGAGTTTTGATGTTGCTGTTGGCGCCGTTCATCAGCCTATCCTATCTTAAGCTCAATGAGAGAAGCATTGATGACTGTAGATAATGCAGTTGGAGATACTTTTGCTGGGGCCTATAACTGGGCTTGATGTTCTGCATCTAGAGCTTTGTTACAAATCAACATTGCCCGTGGCAGAATTAGGCTTTTTGATGGCCCATTTGCATCTCTTCATAGTCTATTATAAATTCATGTTTTGAGTCTTTATTGTGCTTAGATAACAAGGGTTGATGCAGGGCTTTTGTTGGGACTTTTAGTTTAGTTAAAATATGGACAGGTTTTTTGAATGGTTTAACGGATAGCTATGTTAATTTTTACTTGCCAAGAATTTGGGTGGTTCAGTTCCTAATCTGTTTCAAAATCAGAACTGCCTATGGCTGACTGGTTTGCCATCAGTCATTTTTCGTAAATCTGTTTTTTTAATATGATTTGAGCTTTGATACATTGTTTGTGCTGGAGTGTATGAAGAAAGCCCCTTCTGTACACAAAGCAGGTTATAAAATTTGATGTATCTTTTTTTGGGTACAGGTGTGTCAACGGAAACCATTTCATAAGCAACTACAAGCCACACAGTGTGCACAGGCATTGTGGAAGTATGACAAGTATTCATTGCCTGAATATGTGGATGTCATGGCCTCCTGCTGGTTTCGTTTTGATCAAGTTAACTTCCAATGGCTTGTTGCAGCTGAGAGCTGGAGACTTTGGTTTTTGCAGGAGTAAATCTGATAATTTAGAAGACAGAATTTACAGCTCAAGGTCTGTTCTAATGAAGCTTTTCCTCTAATTTTCTTTTCGGTAGTGATGTAACTTATGGTATTAGACCGAAGAATATGAGTGACATAGTTTGTTTCTTAGTAGGATATTGACTTCTGTACATATAATACTGTCAAATTAATACCTTTAATCAACTTTTTGATCTTTCTTCATTATTATGTTATTCATTTGCATCCTTTTTAGCTCAGCTTATATTCGACTCCTTTGAAGTGACAAACTTTTAAACTCTGTATCTGTTTAATGTGCTGTATGTGTAGGACATAAAAATTGGTTTAAAGCCCTATATGCATATATCATAAATATGTCTTATTAGGAAGGGAAGACAGCAAAACGTCTCTTCAGTATTACAAAACTACACCAACCTCTGAAGAGGTCAAAAAAATAAACAATACATGCACCCGCAACCAACACTCTGTAATATATTATAAAGCACAACAATGACCAAGAGCATGCAAGATGTGAGGTATAGTGAAAAGTGTTGATTGGCTGATCAGAAAATCACTGTGAAGGTTGAACCATATGAAGCGGCAAAGAGAAGGAAGAACAGTAAAGAGATTGAGAATTCCATGGAGCTTCCACCTGATGTTCCATCTGTTTGTGTTGATGGTACAGTTTTGGATCCAGTTCCTACAACAGTGAATGTCACCATGAGCAAGTTAATAGCAAGACAGAGTCTAACAAGATGGAAAACCCTTTCTGAGGATCTATTGTTGTACAAGTGTAGAATTACTTGACCATCCATATGCTGTGGTTTTCATAGCAAGTAGTCATATAAAGTTTGGTGTAAGGAGGCATTCTGACTTGTTTAGTTAATTTACTTTCAATTGCACTATTTACATTTTATGCTGTACCTGAAGGGGTGTTTGGAGTTTCTGGTGCTCCTGCAGGTGAGCCAGCTGGAGAGGCACCTGTGGAATATAATGTTACGAGTTAGCATCAGATCAGAATGAAAATTTTGAAATTGTGCAGTGAAATTTTCCTTCTTGTGAGAATTCTCTTTTATTTTTAATTATTATCTTCCATGACTGTTGTCTAGTGGAGATTTAGCATCCATTCTCAGATTTTCGCAGGGGACTTTTGACGGGGAAATGCAGAGGAAGTTTTTTCTTTTTGGTTACAAAGGAGATCTTCGAACTTGAGATCTCTTGGAGGAGGGGGGCATAATGTCAGCTGAGCTACAGTCATTGACAACTCAAAGAAAGTTGAGGTTTCAAAGAGGAGTAAACAAAGTTTGCAAGTTCTTACCATTGCACCTGCTAATAGGTGGAGTCTGCACATTGCAAGCACCAGGTAAGGCTATAGCCTGAGTTTGGTTGACATTGATCCCTAGTGATGAGCCACCGCCATTAAGAACCTGGCACAAGCACTGGGGTGATGACCGAACAACACTAGCTAGCTGAGTGCAGCATTGTGAAGATGGATTTGAGGAGTTCCCTGTAATGTAATTTAGGCATGGTGACATGCTGATTAGAACGTTCGTACAATCTGATTGAGCCATGGCTCCTGCCCAAAACATGGCCGCTAGGACCATGGCCAAACCCATTGACATCTTTGTGTGGGCCATTGAATCTCTTCAATTAGGTATTGAAAATGCTCGTGGAATGTGAAGATCTCTTGTAACTAATGAGTTTGATTAGCTTGATTGAGCGAGGAGAAAGGGGTTCGGCTTTTATAGGGACCCGATGCAAGAACAGGCAAATGATAAATCTGTTATGTGGGTGACCAACTCTTCCTAATCTCCTACTGGATATTATTCAGTCAACTAGGACAGCTTGGACCTCAAGGTGTTCGAAGCCAGAGACTTTTTGAAGTTTGCTGCGAGGCTTACATGCGAGGGTTCTGAAGGTCGGCTATATTGGTGACCAACTTCTACTGTCTGACATGTGTTTCCTTACCAAGAAGCTTAGATGTATGCTTGTTCAAGCTTCAAAGCGGGAGAGTTTGTGTCTTACAAGCATGCCCAAGAAGAAAGCATAACGTGTTTCTGACTCAACCTTTACTGGAATTTGGCTTTGCACCTTTCCCTTTTAGAATGAAAGAGACGTGGTTTTTTAAAGCAGAAAATTCTCGAGGAAGATCATCTCTGACAACAGTTATGAGTCGTGTACCTTAAAACCTAAGATAAAGTTATAGCTGTATTGTTTCACAAGTATGGTGGCAGCTATGCTTCTTCCGTGTGACCAATGAGTTTATAGCTCGATACTATTCTGACAAAGGAAGGTGAGGTTTGGAGATCTTGTCGCTCAATGCTTACATACAAACAAATAAATAAATAAATAAATAAACGTTAAACATTATAACTTATTTAGTGGATAGAATTTCGGAGTAGACAATCCCAGGAGAGCACAAGTAACTAAATTGGTTTTAGAATCACAATACGATGCAAGGGAATCATGATGTCACTTGTCCTCTAATCAGAAAATTACTTTACACCTTTCATGGAGGATCGTACCTAATGCTTGGGATAATTTTTTAAACATAATGCATTCCTTTTTTCATAACATGTCAACATATGTTTTTAATACAGCACTGGCTGACTAAATTCGGTAATCTAGCGTTCTGTTTTTCAATAATTGGGTTACACCCTTTCCAAGTGTTCATAGTTCATAGTTCGAGCAGACTTTGAATGTGTTTGATGACGTATTTAATCAGTTTAAAAATCACATTATGGTACTTAATATAAAAATTTTGTTTAATAATCTAAATAATTTTATATTTAAAATTTAAATTTAGTCAAAATTCATTAAATTAGATAAGTTAAAGTTTTTAACTTAAAACTTTTTGATTAATACGTTCAGTTAAAAAAATTTTAAAACTTTTTAAATATGACTATATAGTTTTCATGTATTCTTATATTCCTAATAATAAAAAATAATTAAAAATTAATCTTTATTGAGAATAATAATATAATAAAAAAGATATTGTACTAATCATGATGTCACGGGACGTATGTAAAACAAAATTTTTAAAACTTTAATGTCCGTACTAGTTTTTACGATCACTCTAAGCATAATTATACATATACATGATAGAAGATATTAATAAAATATGAATCACATGCCATTATATTAATTTACAAACAACTTTATACATGTTTTCGCTTGTTTTCTTATTTAAGAAGATTCATATTTATTATTATTATTATTATTTATGAGCGTTATCCAATTTTATTATAATTGAATTAACAAAGTATAACTTACATATTACATAGTTAGTTATACCCTTTCACTCATTTTATAGATTAGGTGCCATAATCGTCCGTTGCACGATGACACTTTTTTTTTTGAATGTCTCATAAACATACAGAAAATATAGTTATAGATTGAAAGAGGCATATACAGTTAATGTATTTATAACTCTATGACAAATGCATCCTAACACACACACACACACACACATATATACAAGGTTAAAATTATCATGTATATAACCTTATTATATTCAACATTTAATTTTTAGTAAATACCAAATAGTTTGTCATCAACATATTTACTATTTAATTATTCAACGTTTATAATTTAATATTTAATAGATTCAGTATTTAATTTTTAATTTTATCAAACACTACCTTCAAATCGCATCCCTCATATTTAAACCTTTAGGCTCTGAGTGCAAAGTTAGTGGCCATTAGCTTGCTATTATCAGTGAAATGAAACATGAATTAGTAATTTTTAATTCATGGAATGGTGTTGGGCTTGAAAGTTTTGAAACTCTAGTCATTGGATATCTCCACAATCAAAGCGTATAACTAGGAAGCATTAAATTAAATAAAAAATTAAAAGAATTGGGATAAATAAACAGTAAAATACTGTTCATTTGTTTCATTTCACTATTTACTAGAGTGGTAATTTTGTGATTTTATGTAATGTTATTTTGGTAATTTTTTTATAGTGTTTTGGGCATTTATTTTTAAATTTTAACTTCATTCCTTTTTGGTCCCTTATGTTTTCAAAATATATTTTTAAAAATATTTTGACATTTCATGTTTTTAACTTAGTCTATTTTTATCTCACATTTTTTTTCAAAATATATTTTTTATTCCTCATGTTTTTAAAAGATATTTTTGACCTCTTATGTTTTTATATTTTAGAACAAACACATATATCGGATTATATTTTTTTTTATTAAAATTAATCTCTTAAATTTGTCTTTTATTATAAAAATTCTCATCAAATTAAATTTTTTATTTTTTATGAAATTTTATTTGTTAATAAATATGATTTATCTTTCTCTCTATGTGAATTTTTAATATGTTTTTTGAATAAATAATAGAATTCATATGTTTCTTTACCTTATTCTTGATATAATCAATTTTTTTGAAATAAAATTTAAAATTATTTTTATTGCACTCTATTAACTTTAATATATTTCTTACAACTTAAGTCTTTTTAAACATATTTTTTAATTTGTACAGAGTATGGTAATGATGTATACAAAAAAGTATTGAGATAATTGATTTTATTAAAAATTAATTATACATCTAGACATATAACATCAACTATTTCTTATTAATTATTTTTAATATTCTAAATTTAATCTATTTTCAATAAAATAATATTTTAAAATAACAACTTAATAATTCAAATACATATTTTTTATACCTAATATTATTGATTGTTTTGTGTGTGTTTGTGTGGATGCGTGTATGTATGTATGTGTGTCTATATCAAATGTACATGTTTTAAAAAAATTTAAAAATATTCATTAGTTAATTTTTATATAAATTTTTATATTGATTGTTGATATATTTCTTTGATGTATTCTTATAAAAAAATGTTAAGATATTTTTAAAAATTTTATATTTATATTATTGTAGGTTTTTATTTAAGAATGAATAAATAAATAAAACGAATCTTGTTTTTTTAGCAACGAGACATTCTTTAAATATATGAAATTTATAATTTTAACTTTCAATTCAAGAATCTCTTTCATCATAACTTAAGAAGTAAAAACATGAAAAAAAAAACATTTTTTAAAATAAAAAATAAATTATTTATGGTCAACACTCGATTAAAAAATTAAAAAAATTCATTTTTTGAAACCAAAAGAATTAAATAATTTATTTTTCAAAATAAAATGAACTAATTTATAATTTAATTTGCAATTCAAAAATCTGTTTCATCATAAATTAACAAGTAAAATTAATGAAAATCAATTTTGTAGTAGTTTTTATTTTAGTTTATTGACTTTAATATATTCCATACAACTTAGATGTTTTTTTTAAAAAAATAATTTTTTTTGGCTTATACTATATACTCTAAATATGCTAAATGTGATCGTTATATATATATATATATATATATATATATATATATATATATATATATATATATTAGTTTTGTTGGAAATTAATTATGTACCCGCATACATGACACTAATTATTTGTTAGTTATTCTTTTTTTATGTTCTAAAATCAATATTTTTTAAATAAAATAATAAATAAATATATATATGTATATATATCATTAGTTTAGTTATAAATTAATTATGTATTGATATACATAACACCAATTATTTGTTATTTATTCTTTTTTATGTTCTAAAATCAATATTTTTAAAATAAAAAAATTGAAATAATGTTTTGAACTTTTTAATTATTCAAACACAAATTTTTATACTAATATTATTGATTATTTTGTTAATAAATATATATAAATTAAACGATTTTGCTCAACAAATAAATTTGATTTACATTAATTACGAGAAATAAGATTTTTACTCGCATTACACCATACGAATCGTTAACATTACGTATATAACGTTTGTCCGACCGTAGTATAGCGCAATTATCCAACTAGTTAGTTTCTAAATTTTATAAAAAGTTGGGTACTTCATTAATTGAATTCTTGTACTATATTTTTATTTTCTATTTTGATTTAATCTACTCTCAAAATTGATCAATCAAGTACATTAATTTATTCCAGAAATACGCTTCTCAAGATTATTTAAAGTTCAATGCTAAATTGTGTTTTTTTTATAAAAAAATGTATTTTATTGATAAAGTTTTAAATATGTAACACATCAAAAATAGAAAAAAGTTAAATTTGAAAATTAATAAAAATTTCGATAAAATACAAAATAGAATTGAACACATACTAAAGTTACTCATTTGGTATAATTGAAAATTCAAAGCTAGGACTGAATGGATATTCTTATTGTTTTGTCTTTCTATTTTGATGGCCAAAAAAAAAAAAAAACCCTCCTATTTATCGTTTTCTTCTGTCTTTAGCGTTGAATTGCAAATCCGATTAGTTGTTTTTTAATTCCTTGTAATATGCAAGAAATTCAAAAAAAAAAAAAACTAATTGGATAAATTACAATAATCACTTTTGAGATTTACGAAATGAAATTATGAAATTAACAGAACTTTTCGAAACTCATCACAGAAGCCCTCTTGGTGAAAACTTGGAAGCTTTTGATAGCAATATGCATATCTTCATATAAGTTCAAATAGTTGTATTTTTTATTTTTATTTTTATTTTTTGGCTTTGGTTTCTATACCAATAGTAAAGTGAACCTTGAGATTTGAAAAATAACAACGAACTTGAAAACTTGAAATTAATAGGTGGCTGTTTGCAGCTTTGCTTTGTAAATTGTATAGCAATATTGTAAGGTGCAGGTCTGATCATGATATTCATGACGAAATGCAAAGCAAACAAGAAAGGTTCATTAATCACACCATTCTTATTATTAAACAACGTACGCAAATACTCAAACACGTACGTATATAGTAAAGCAAACATTACAAACTTTCGAAGGTAATTAATACGTTAAACAAGCACAACGTACATATAATAATTAAGATCTCAAATAGTACGGGAAGCTCCTAGTCATAGCACACTCCATATAGAACTCATCAGAAGCTGCTTGAAGTTGATGCAGATAATGCGATGAAAACAACAAAGAGAAGGAGCTGAAGGGTCTTGTTTATGTTGAGGCCATTTCCAGGGCTCCCTCCAGTTGCTGGAACTGTTTTAGATCCTCCTGCATTCATCCATTCATTCTTGAAATTAAGATAAAAACAATTTAATTTGGCAAAGTACAGGTAATTAAGACCCTTCCCTTAGCCTAACACCCTAGCTAATTAATGTTGTTGGAAGTACTTCACTTGCAAAAGGATGCATGCAATTGTGCAGAACTAAGTCTGACCATTAGTACGGTGTTCAAATTTTGGTTAGTTTTACTAAATTGAGCTTGAGCCAAATTCATTTACATTAAGCTCAAATATTGGTCCATCATGTTTCGTTAATTTTTTTGGGTAATTTAAAATCGCTAGATTGAGTAATTGAAGTATTACCAGGCAAAACTTCAGGAGAAACAGCTGGAGACATTCCAGTTCCGTTAATATCTGCCAAAGCATAAAAATTAAATTACACAGCCCATATATAGTAATGCATGCACTTTCCTGAAGATTGCTACTTTAAGACTTACCATTGCACTTGCTAACAGGCGGAGTTTGTACTTTACAGGCACCAGGAAGTGCTAATGCAAGCGTCTGGTTGATGTTAATACCTAATGATGCACCGCCACCATTTAGTGCGGCGCAGAGGCATTGCGGTTGTGATCCAACAACAGTAGCCAATTGCGAGCAGCACGATGAAGATGGAGTTGAAGAGCTTCCAGTAACATAGTTTAGGCATGGAGCCATGCTAATTAGAACATTGGTGCAACCTGACTGTGCCATGGCTTTCGCTGAAAGCATAGCCACGATAAGGACCATGACTAGACCCATGTTGATTCCTGTCGAAGCCATGTGACTTGTAGTTCTATAGCAAGGCTGATTCTGGCAAGTGTCAGAGGAATGGCTATTTATAAACGCACGAGGGTAGTGAAGTCTTCAATTTAAGATTTTTATTTGGTGAACTAGAACAGGATATCTGAGGTAAGGTTTACAATAAATATTAGAGTATTAACCAACGTGTCATTTTAAGATGAAAAGACTTAGGACTAGTTGTGGAAGAAGTTGCCATGCCTAGATCATATATGCTATCATTGTGCTCAATGCAATTGCAAGGTCTCGTTGACATGAATGTATTTGGTGATAGAAAAAGCGGCCTTATGAATCCTGAAGGACAGAAGAAAGTCTGATAACCTAACTTTCAAAAACAAAGTAACCTGTTTAAATAATAATAATAATAATAATATCAATCTGATTTTGTATTTGTACTTTCTAGAATTGATACAATGTTTTAGGCATTTTGCAGGCTGTCCAAGTTAAGATGGGCAGGCTCAGGAGCCCGGACTGAGATGGCTTATGCAGTACAATATCACCATTCGCAACTAGTTAGGACTTTTACCTGTAAATAGGTGCCTATTGCCAGGTAGAAGTGACTTTAACAATATGTCCTGAGGATTACAGAGCTGGCCTGTAAACTTAGTCTAGCCAGATGATCATAGAGCTGTGAAATGCTCACTACAAAATATTGGATTGGGCTTAAGCTTAAGAATTTTATAAAAAGTGGAAGTGCACAAATGCAAGAATTTACTTGGACCAAATTAATCAAATTACTAAAACTCATATTAATAATAATAACAATAGCGGAATTCATTTCACTAACGAATTAGATATTTTTGGTACACGTGAACCAATTCCATGCAATAACTTTTCGACAAATACATTAGTGGGATTGTCCAATTAATCATGTATGAGTGAAATAAGGGAAACAGACTCTCCATATACAAACACATGCATATGCCCAAAAAAGTGAGATTGATAATCGTATCATCCACATTAAGGATTTTTTTTTTAATGATTGATTGAATATAACTATGGTTGATTTTCTGCAAAAGAGAGAAAACATTTTTGTCATGAAAAATAACACCAATGACTATCTAATTATTGTTTTCTTATGCCTATGGTTGGAGCTAAATTATGTCTTAGGGACAGGAAAAAAAAAACATATTTTAGTATCTTTTGGCCCGAATAAAGTTCAAAATTGAAGTATTAAAAAAGAAATTAAAAGTCATGAGGGTTTCACTCGTTGTTAAACTTTTCACTCTCACTCATTACCACCGTGGACTCGAGTTTTTTTTATTTTTTATTTTTTGCCTTTGTGTTATAAGTAGTCTTTCTTTTGCTTTTAATTACTATCATTATCACTCGGTGGATTTGTGAAATTCCATAATTGCCCTTGAGTGATTTTCTTTTTAATTTTCTTTTTTAATCCTTTTTCATCATTTCACTTTTTTTCTTTTCTTCGCATCATAAATGATCTTCTTTTTCACTCTTAATTACACTTATTGCCAATTAGTGGATTTGTAAAAATCCACAATTATCCTTAATCGATTCCTTTTTTATTTCTCTTTTAATCCTTTTTCGTCAATTCACTTTCTTTTCTAATAGAGCATTTAATGTTGTTGTCATTTTTTTTTCTTCCTTATTTGGTAGGAATAAGTAAATTGCCATTCTAGAATAAATTATAAATTAGTCCATCTTTCTTAGTAACATAAATTAATTAGTCCATCCGATTTCAAAAGTTAACGTTTTTGTCCTTTTTTCTACTTTCAATTTTTTTTTTTTACTTTTTGTTTTAAGAAATAGAAAAGAAAAAATAGATAAAAATATGAACAAGATTGATAAGAAAAAAACATTTTAAAAAATAAAAAAGGAAAAAACATTAGTTTTTGAAATCAAATGGACTAATTAATTTGTTTTCCTAAGAAAGAAAGGCTAATTTATAATTTACTCTAGAATAGCAATTTACTCATTCATACGAAATAAGGAAGGGAAAAAAAGGCAATGCTACTATCCTAGGAAATTAGATGGACTATTTTTTTTTTCTTTTAGTTTTAAGAAATAGGAAAGAAAAAAATAAAAATATGAAAAAGATCGAGGAGAAAAGAAAAAAATTTTAAAAAATAAAAATGAATTAATTAATCATGTTCAATACCGATTAAAAAAAGTAAATAATTATTTTTTAAAATCAAAAGGACTAATTAATTCATTTCTCAATGCAAGAGAGACTAAATTATAATTTATCTATCACTATTTTCGCATCAACTACATAAAATAATGCAAGTAATATATAATTTGCAACAACAAGCAAGATTTTTACAGTTAATAAATATATCTATAGCGGTTAGTAATTTTATATTTTGTTGGATTGCAAACAAAAAATATATATATAATAACCAAGAGTGAGGACCCATTTAATTTGTATTGTTGTTGTGCGGGTGAGGAATTCTTGAGTAAGTGTGCCCCCGACCGAACTATGAATGGACATCTAACTTGCATTGTAATTAATTATTGACGGTATTTAGTTTAGAATTAATTTTTCATTTTTTATAGTGGTTGCAAATTCAATATGTCTTAATAATACTTTTTTTCTACTACTCTTTTAACTATTAGCTATTAATTATTAAAATCAATTTTTGATTGCCTAATAAATGATTGAGTTGTAGAGTTTTATTAATTAAAACATTAAAAAAAGAATACTAATTCACAACACCCAATTGCACTCGCTCACTATCGCTAATTCTACTATTTATTTTCACTCGTTTATTGATATTTTTGCATATTAATCCCTCGGATTTTCAGTAAAAAAAAAAAACATTTGATCCCAAACTTTATTTCTATTGCCATATGGTCCTTGAATGCTTATAGGAGAGGGAAGAGAGGGGAGAGAGAGAAAGGCGAGGGCCATTCATGTTGCATCTATTGTTGATATTACCACTAATTTGTTTGTCTTGAAGAATACAATCCGTTAATTAGTGGTGATTACAAGTCATGAAACGGCTTGAAGATGTAGATCATGATCCGAAAATATTTAAAGTTTTTTGAGTTTGATTTGAATTTTTATGTGTTTTGTGCACTCGAAATAAATTTTGAAACTCTAAAATAGTTTTTTGACATTATTTTTGTGATTATAAGTTTTTTTGAAAAAAAATTAAGACTGAATTTGGCTTTGTGGAAGCCGTAAACCAAAAATATGATTTTTCGGCAACGTTTTCATTGAACACTAGCTTGCTAGAAATTGCAGTGGTTTTTTTTAAAAAAAAATCTTTCCCGATAGGTTTTGCTCCTCCATGCCCAAGCGTGCATGCCCGGTTCTTAGCTGGACATCTTTTTTTTTTTTTTTTTCCAATTGTTTTCTAAATATTTTTAAGCAAATATTCTAGAATGTCAAATGCTATTTTTTTCTCATGTAGTCCGAGGAGAAATAAATAAATATGATATGTTTTTATATTTTAAAATAAATATATATTTTAAATTATATTATTTTTATTATTTAAAATTTATTTCTTCAATTTTTCATTTCTTATAAAGATTGTCATACAATTAATTTTTATTTTAATTTTTTTTTAAATATTATTTATTGTTCTCTATGTATGGATTTTAAATAAAATTTTAGAATGTGATAATTTTATTTTAAAAAATAATTTTATATAATTTATATGATAAACTATTAAATTTTTGAATGATATATATATTAAAAAATTTTAGAGAATTTGTATTAGATTTTTTTGAAAAATTAATTTACAAAATAAATTTTTACTTAAAAATTCATGGATTTTTAGATTTTATTTTTAGGTTATTACAAAATTTTAGTTAAAAAATAAATAAATAAGAATAAATATGTTTTTTTTTACAAAAAAAAATTATGAAAAATATAATGAATAATTAATTAAATGTAAAATTTTAATAAAAAATAATAAAATTGAATAGATTTTCTTTTAATCTATGTTTCAATCTATTTTATTTGATTCATAGTTTAGCATAAATCTTCAAATTAAAATAATTTTATATGTTATATTCGATCCGTAACGAGTGAAAACCTAATGAGTATCTAAAGGTTATGGACGGGCTAAGGCTTTAGTTTATCATAAGCCTGCCCACTTACGTCTCTAAATTTCATATATTAGTATCTTGTGGCCTAAATAAAGTTTGAAATTATAGATTTCTTGGGAATCCTTTATGAAACAAACAATTTTAAGTGGCTAAGAAAGCTTGGATTGTTAATAAATCGATAGGTTTAGATGATTCTCATTGGCTGAGATCATAACTTCTGAATTGAGCAAACGGCCAGTTGTCGGTTGACAATAAAGTAGGACTCGTCTAATCAATAAAAATTGGATTGCAGGGGTCAAAGCAAACTTGTCCAGAATCTGTAATCTTTGGATTACCTCTCATTGGCTGAAACCAAAACTTCTTGACTTGCAAAATACCCAGTTATAGTTTGACACTAAATTAGGGTAGGCCCAACATATGAGATAGAATGGCAAAGTCAAAATAAGATCCACGATATGAAAACAGGTGTCAAACTCAAAATCCTTCCTTAAACAAATTTAGTTAAGTTAGTTGAGCTTCAAAACCAACTTCAAATCCACTTGTGTAATTCCCTCCATTTCCTTAACCTAAAAATTCCTCACTCTATAAATTCCCACAGCCTTCTTTTTCTCCAACACACAAAACTTCAAACTCTACAAATCCATCTTCTTTTTGGTGTTCAACACTATAATTTTCTTTACTTTTCTCCAGAAAGTACTCCTAACTACAAGAACACGCACATATGGAGCGGTTTGTGTCTTTTTTGCATCTGGCTGTAGCTTTGGCGGTCTTTGTTTTGCCTGTTTATGGCCAGATAAATACTGCATGCACAGCTTCGGTGCTTGGTACCTTCACCCCATGTATGAATTTTCTTACAAATAGTACTGCCAATGGTGCTTCACCAACTGCAGATTGTTGCGGTTCACTTAAGAATCTCACAAGTAATGGGATGGACTGTTTGTGTCTTATTGTGACTGGAAGCGTTCCCTTCCGCATACCAATCAATAGAACTTTAGCCATCTCTCTGCCTCGTGCTTGTAACATGCCTGGCGTCCCAGTTCAATGCAAAGGTGATTAAAACATTAAAGATTCTTTTTCTTTCTGTTTTTAGCTGTCTTTTAATATATTGCTTATTATTATTATTATTATTCAAAAGCCGAGTCTTAATATAGTACGAGTAGAGAAAATACTAATATAAAACTCAATTTCTCTTGCAGCTACTGGTGCACCAGTTCCTTCTCCAGGTATGATTTTTAAAATATGATGATCTTTTAATCCCCTTAATGACCATTCCAACAGCAATTATGGGCTTGAATATATCTAATGCTGATTGTTATGCAAGCATGAATTGGGAAGAGGCTTCTTAACGATCCTTTAAGATGATTTTGTTTTATTTCTTTGAAGTTCTGATTCAAGCTAGTAAATTGTATGCTTCTAATTGATGATTGGCAGGTCCTGTTTCACTTGGGCCAACTCCCTCTCCGGGAGTTTCTCCATCTGCCAGTCCTAAAGGTAATCAATTAGTCGTATGTCTATTGTGTTTCAATGCATATATATATAATAGATAATGGTTTAACTGCATGTTAACACAAAAAGAATTTTTATTTCTTGATGAGCAGCTTCTGTTGTCCCTGAGCCAACACCATCCACTCTACCGCCAGCGTCTGACACGACACCTCTCCTGAATCCACCATCATCTACGGGAGATAGTGGGGCACCACCATCAAGTACTGGGAGTCGCCCAGTTTTAACTCCATCAGCATCGGTGCCCTCTCACGGCCTTTCACCGTCTCTTCTACTATTTGCATTAGGATTTGTACTCTTCAAGTGCTACTAGATGTATTTTCATTTTCTGTTTTACACATTTGTTGAGAAATATTCTTTTGGGAGTGTGTGCTATTATTTTTTAGTTTGTTTAGATGATTAAAAGCCATATTGGGTGATTATTTATTGAATAATTTGTCATTTTTGTATGAAATATATGTATTGGTGAAGATAAATATTTGAGTATTTTGGTTAAGAGAATTCTGTTCCTTGGTAGCTATAGAGTTTGGATGCCTGGTGTGAGATTTTGGAAGGTTGGCGACAAATAGTTGGTTATGATTCCACTAAGGAATGCTTATTATTTCGCGCTACAAAGTAGTTTTAAAAAGACTAGTGGGAAAATGTTCATATTCAAGAACTTCTTTTTAACTGCCTTGCTAAATTACACCATTACTGGTTGCCAAGTCCACAGCTTCTACTGACTCGGAATTCAAACCAGATGGAAAAACATAAAAATCAAGATTCAAGCCTTTCTATTCATTCCACAGTCATGCTTCAATCATGTCCAAGCCATAAAAATTTAGCCTTTCGGTTAGTTAAGTAAATGTATTGATGGCGCCTTCACATTTCCATGACTCCTCACAATCTGTGTGACTGGTCCTAAATTACCAACCAATACCTTGAAACAGGCATGCTTTCAGCTGTAGAACTGGGACTACCCTTTTAGTTAATTTTGAAAGTAGTCACTCATTATCTGTCTACTTAAGTATAGTAACGAGAGGGTAATGCTGTAATAGCAATTGTCAGAGAACAGAACTTGCTGAATCTTGTTTGCTGTAGTGAAAACAACTATTGCTAGCAACTGACCTCATACTTACTGCATTCTGTTTTTCATCACGAGAAACGTAACTGCATAAGATTATCGGAACTCATTCACAGTTTAAGATGATTATGTTAAAGAAACGAGAAAGTTGGGAGGGCAGAATGGAATGATGCGCACAGTTTACAACTTGCAAACTACTCCTGCAGTAACAGTGTAATTAGTTTTATTGACACCAAAGATCCTGTTTATTTGTTTTCAGCAATGAATTCGCAAAAGCTGGTTCTCTTCAGGTTTATTTGGGGCCTGGCTTTTGTTCTCGGCATTTTAATTCCTGCCGTCAAATGTCAAATCCAAGGTTGCTCTATTCAGGACATTGATTTGGGGCTGTGTTTGAATCAAACTAGTAGCTCCTTGTCCATTAATAGCGCATGCTGCGAAGTGCTTAACAAAATTATACGAATTGGATACAATTGTTTGTGTTTGCTGGTAGCTTCATCTCCTCCTCCCTTAAGCACCCCACTTATATTGCCCTTGTCGAATTGCTTCGTATCTGTGCCGCCTTTGAGTCTTTGCGGAGGTAATGCTGGAACTCAATCCTTTCTTTTCAAAATTTGGTCACAAATATGTTAGTTTCTTCCTCTTCTTGAAAATATGTAGACTTTGTCTTCTTATTCTTTCCTTCTCTTTTTCCTCTCTCCGTATGCAGTTCCAGCTCCGATGCCAATACAGTTTCCACCAACCATTCCAGATGATATTACACAACATTCTACGCCTCCTAAAGATGTGCTAGTCTCTCCACCTCTAAGTCAGACGCAGGTACAGTTGAACTCAACTAGAGAAGACAACTCCACAGCAGTTGCAACACAGCCATTTTCATCAACAGAATTAAATCTGCCAAAGGAGAACGAAACATCAAATGGGAGGGGCAAAACTAATAGGATTTTGCTCAAACTTTTATTACTGTGCTTGGCTCTTTATGGTTATAGGTCCTTAGCTTGATCTTCTCTTCTTAGCCTTAAAACAAAATAAACAAGCATGTAAATCAATGACTATTCTATTAAATGACACTGCTGTGATCACCCTCATTGAATTTGACAGCATTGTTTGGTGTTGCACAAAGGGCTGGTGAACATTCTGTCTATTTGTTTCTTTCTTTACATACTTTCAAACTAAAAAAAAAAAAAAAGCTGAAGCTAGATTTTGAGATAGATTAAAAAAAATCCTGTGAAAGTTCAGGAACTGTTTAGTTAATGAACAAGCATTTGCAAGTAGATTGACAAGATTTGGTAATCAAAGTAACTGCTGCTGATTAACAGCAGATGTGTGATATAACATTATAACTTGTAAGCTCCATATGACAAGTTCAACAAAATGTCACATAAGCAGAATAAAGTTAACTAACTGCAAAATGAATGCTTGATGGAGGAGAGCCGGTTTTACATTTTAACAGCCTTTTGTGCAACACCAAAAAATGCCAGGGGTAACTATTCTGAAAGAAAAATTCTCTTTTAACTTCATTTTCTTTAGCTAATTGGTTGGATTGTACAAGGTACTATTTGCCAAATATAGATTGGTACTCCAACTAATTTAATTTTTCAATTCGAGTATCATAATTATTTTTTATTTGTAATCGAGTTGAGCAATCCCATTGACCAACATTCGGACACACTTTTTAGACACGCAATGGGCAAATGATCAAAAAATCCATATCTAAATTAAATTGCCAAACTTTTTTTTCCTCCATTCTTTTTTTTTTTTTCCTCCATTCATATTTTCCCACCTAAACTACCCAAAATTATATAGAACTCAAGCCTACCCAATCTCAAATTACCCCAAATCTAAATTAAAAAGAAAAAAAAAACCCACATCTCAATCATCATTCTCTTCCTTTTCATCTTCTACAATAATTAACTCAATCAAAACCCAAATCATTGCAAACTCATAATTTGTTGCAAACCCACTAAAGAGATGCTTACATCCATGCACCCTTCCTCCTCCATGTTGTCAAGGTTAATATGCTCGTAAATTTATTATTGACGACTATTTACTTTGATAGGTAGTTAACTCATGTTAAGTTAATGTAATTAGAGTTAGTTTTAGTCGTGATCAAAGTGAACAAGTGTAAAGTATAGATGTGATGTTGTTTCTAGTATAAATAGGGTTGAATATTCTGGAATTATGAAGATAGAGAGAGAAAGAGAGAAAAAAACATGAGAGAGAAAGAAAACCCTCCCCTTTTTCTTGTTGATTCTTCAACAAAAATTGCAAACTTGTTTTGTGTTGATTTCGAGTATGTTTTTCATATTTTTAGTCCTTCCAGAGTGATCTAAAAAATATGTGTTGTGTTTCTCTTTAATACTTGCATTTTTGTTGCTTTGGCCACAAAGACACAAACCGATTATTTAGCCAACAATAGTGATATCGGAGCTGGAGTAATGGGATTAAAAGAAAAAAGAAGAAGAAGAAGATTTGCTACCGAAAATCGATGAAAGGAAGCTACAAGAGCGAGAGATGGCCAAGGCAAGGAACATCAATTGGAGTTCTATTCAGCCTCTATGGTTTCAAGTGAAAATAATGAATTTTGGAGTATAAAGATGAGAACTTTGCTGATTTCACTGAATTTATGGGAGATGGTAGAGGTTGGATTTGAAGAACCCAAATCAATTAATGATTTACTTGCGGTACAAGTGAGAGATTTGAAGGATAAAAGGGGTGAAAATGCAGGAGCTCTTGGATAAATCCGAAAAGGGTATCTAAACCCTTCTTTCCTAGAATCATGAGAGTCACTCAAGCAAAGCAAGCTTAAGAGATTCTACAATGTGAGTATGAAAGAGATGTAAAGATAAGAGGTATTAAACTACGAGTCTAAGAAAAGAGTTTGATAATTTGAAGATGAAAGATAATGAATCAAGTGGAGGAGTTCTCTAATAGACTTGTTGAAATTATTAATCAAATTAATAATTGTGATGAAAAAATTAGTGATGGAAGAATTGTAGAGAAGTGTTGATTAGTTTGCCTTTAAAAGTTGATCTTATTGTGGTCGTTGTTGAAGAGACTAAGGATTTGTCCGAGTTGAGTATTAAAGAATTAATGAGTTCTTTAAAATCTTATGAGAAAAGGCTAGTACAAAGCTCTAAAAATCTATTGAGAGTGTATTTTAGTTTAAACTTTCTCATGGTCATCAAAACCAAGAAAAGAGATCCTCGAGTGAAGAAAAGAGATCATCAAGTGAAGAAAAGTGAAGTTTTAAGTCATTTAAAAGAGGTAGGAAAACTAATAGAGGTAGATATAGAGGAAGTAGTGGCAATTTTATGACGAAAGGTAGAGTTAATGTTGTAAGTAGAGGAAGCTTTGATAATAAACCAAGTGAGAAAAGTTACTTGCGTAGGTGTTTTCATTGCAACAAGTCATAACATATTGCTAGAGATTGTTGGCTAAGAGAAAGAACTCGGTGTTACAATTGCAAACGCTTCAAACATATGTTGAAAGATTATAGATTGAAAGAGAGCCAATAAACAAGCTATTCAAAAGAGAAAAAAGATGAAAGGTGTTTGTTTTATGCTTGTCAAAGTACATTAGTGTAGAAAAATGATTAATGGCTCATTAACAAAATATATAACAATCATATGACAAGAAATGAAGGTTTTTTCAATCATCTAAACACTAATCTCAAGTATAGAATGAAGATTAAAAATCAAAATTTGATTAAAGCTAATGTTTTGGGCATAATTAAAGTCCAAATAAAGAAGAGAAAAGAGGTGATACATGAAGTTTTGCATGTTCTGAACTAGATCAAAATTTATTAAGTTTTGGGAAAGTTATGGAGTATGGATATGTACTCGCATCTTGAAGACAACTATTGCACCATTTATGATAAAGGTTTGTTAAGATGAGTTTTGGCACGAGTCAAGTTGTTAAATAGGCATTTCCCGTTCAACTTGAAGAATATAAAGGATGGGGCAATGAACTTGAAACGGAAGATGATTCTTGACTTTGGAATAGATGACTAGGTCATGTAAACTTTAGTAGCCTCAAACTACTTCATTAGAAAAACATGGTGCAGGGACATCCATTTATTAAAGAAAAAATTGAAGGGTGTCTACTTAGGAAAAATCATCGATAATCATTTCCCAAAAGGAGTAGCATGGAGAGCTAAACAAAAGCTTGAGCTAATGCATTCGTATGTGTCCGGTCCTATAGAAACTCCTTCAAATTCATAAAACAGGTACTTTATCCTCTTTATTGATGATTATAGTAGAACGTACTCGGGTTTATTTTATGAGTCACAAATTTGAATTTTTAAAGATATTTAAGAAGTTTAAAGCACTTGTTGAAAAGCAAAATGATTGTAAGATAAAAGTGTTGAGAAATGATTATGGAAAGAAGTATACATCGGGTGAATTTGAGAAATTTTTATGAAAAGGAAGGTGTGAAAAGGTAGCTAATGGTAGGTTATACTCCACAATAAAATAAAGTATCTAAAAGGAACAATCAAAAGGTGATGGAAATTGCTAAGTCCATGTTGTTTGAGAAGAGTCTTTTAGGAAGCTTTTGACCGAAGTTGTAAATACAACTATTTATTTGATTAATAGTTGCCCAACAAAAGCTTTAAATAATCAAACACCATTTGAAGCTTGGAGTGCTAGAAAGTCATCAATGAATCATCTAAAAGTGTTTGGTTGTGTGTGCTATGCTCAAATTCCAAAGAACAAAAGGCATAAGTTGGAAGAAACAAGTGACAAATGTATCTTTCTTGCCTATAACTCTATATCAAAGGGTTATAGGTTGTATAATTTGAAAACCAAGAAAGTCATTGTGAGTAGAGATGATGAGAAAGGAAAATGGAATTGGAAAGAATATAAGGTTGAAGGTGAAAGTAGTTCAGCTTCCGATATAAAGCAAAAATTAGTTCAAGAAGAAGAAGACTATATAGATTATAGAATAAGTGTTGTAGCCTCTTCTAGCCGAACTTAAAAAAAAGATGAGTTTGAGTGAGGTGTATGCAAGAGGCAACTTTTGTGTGGTTAAACCTGAAAATTTTAAAGAAGGTAACAAAGAAAAACAAGTAAAGAAGAGTTATGGAAGAAGAAGTAGAGATAATTGAGAAGAACATAACTTAGATGTTGGTTGATAAGCCAAAAGATAAAGAAGTGACTGGTGTAAAATGGGTCTACAAAGTGAAACATAATCAAGATGGTTTTGTACAAAAAAAGAAAAAAGAAAAACAAAGCAAGATTTGTTACTAAATGTTATTCATAATTGTCTCGGAATTGATTTCAATGAAGTTTTTACTTTGGTATATCATATGCATACTATTAGAGCACTCAATGCATTTAACGACTCGTAAAGGTTGGTTGTAATACCAGCTTGATGTAAAATTAGTCTTTTTGAATGGACAATTAAAAAAAAAAAGAGGTTTATGTAGAGCAACCATAAGGTTTTTTTATTAGAAGAATAAAAGATAAGATGTATTTGTTGAAAAAAGCATAGTGTGGGCTGAAAAACGCTTTGAGAACTTGGTATAATCAAATTGATAGTTACTTCATTTAGCATGGTTTTGAAAAAAAGCAAAAATGAGCCTACTTTATATATGAAACAATAAGGTAAAAGTGATATTCTTATTCTTGCTTTAGATGTTGATGACGTGGTGATTACGGGTAATAATGTAAGATGGATTGAAGAGTTTAAGAAAGAAATGATGAGATGATATGAGATGAATGATAAGGGTTTGTTACATCATTTTGTAGGTATTGAGGTTTATCAAGATAATGGAGGTGTTTTCATTTGTCAAAAGAAGTTTTTTGAAAAAAATCCTCAAAAAATTAAGAATGTTAGGCTATAAACCTGTTGATGTTTCTTTGATGGTAAATGGAAAGTTAATGAAAGTTAATGAAAGAAGATGGAGGAAATAAAGTGGATGTCACTCTTTATAGGAGCTTGGTTAGGGATTTGATTTATTTGACAATTACAAGGTCTGATGTAATGTTAGTCCCTTCCTTTCACCCATTGACATTTTATTTGGATTAGTGTTAGGTATATATGTAAGTGATAAATATCTTACCTTGAGCAAAATAAATAAGAAAAATGAGGTATTTATATATAAGATGGATGCATAAGCTATCCATATATATTTTTCTGTTAAGGTGATATCGGTCATTGTGTGTAAACTCTTATGTATGAAGGTCTAAATGACTCTCTAATATGGATCTCCTTAATAAATAGTATTAAAGTCAATATATGGAACGATATGTGTTTGTATGTATAGTCAATGGCACAACATTTGCTAGGAAAAGTATGAAGACAGTTTAGATTAACTATCATGTTGACGACATCCATGGTAAAGGTAAAGAGTTAGCCAGATTTTTTTTTTATGAAAATCAGTATAGATGGTTCTTGGAGTAGTAAGACTTGACTCTTAGGTTAGATGTGTAGGACAGACGTAGATTTATGGATAAACAAGTTCTTGAAAAAATGGCAAACTTTTTATGGCATTATGACATTCAAGTTGTGATTGTCGTATTTGAAATATTAAAGATGATTCTGTTGAAGGGGAGTGTGTTTATTAGTGGTAAAAATCCCACCATTGAAAAGAGAATGCGAAAATTGAGGAGTTTATATCTAAGATTGACTCATGACCTATTAGTCTAGGTTTTTTTATTAAGATGATGTCTACCCTTGTGTGTAAACTCTCATGTGTGTAGTACAAGTATAGGTCTAAGTGACATTTTAATGCAGATCTCTCCAATAATTAATTCATATTGTTCAAGCATCTCTAACATATTTCTTTTCAAGTCACAAAAAGCACATAACTCGGCTATCCACTTGAGAGAAAATAATAGGGCTTAACAAATGTATTGATGCCAAAATAAGCATTTTAAATTATACACACGTGTGCAAATGTTGTTCAATAAAGGATGATAACTAGATTGGTCAATATTCAAAGAATCATCTCTATCGAGCATGACCAATTTACACTTTACTAATTCAGAATTAAAAGATTTTATGATCTAGATTATTTAAAAAGACTTGATGGATTTTTTTATTTAAGGGCCTTTTGTTATGTACAAGATTCAAAAGTCCTATTCCATTTAGAGTATTTTTGTCCTTGTCTAATTTGAACATTAATGCTTGTCTTTCGATATTTTTTAAATTAAGAAATGACTCGTAAGTCGATAATTATTTCTTACTTGTCAAACAAGTAAGTCTCAGATTTTAGAATAATATAAAATAACGGAGCATCCTCATTGTAGTTTCTCTCTGCTCCCACACAATAATTTTAATACAATTTTTTCAAGATTTCAATAATTTATCTTTCTTGTAATTTATTTTTTGTAAGTTTATTATTTATAGTTTTATACTTTATCATTATTGTTTTCTTATGGCATAATTTACTTACTTTGTTTACAATTTTATTTATTTCTTTCTTTACAAGCTTTTAGTCTTTTAATTATTTCTCATTTAATTTAATAATTTTTTAGTTTTATAAGTATCTCACTTCATATAAACTCACAATTTATTCATATAAGTCTCTATGATTTACAGCATAAGATTTATAATGTTTTTACACCTTTATATCTACTGTCTGATTAGTTAACATAAATTTACATGTCCATAACTTAATGAAAACTTAATTGTTTAACGTAAAACATTAATGGGTACATTTTCTTTAGATAGTTTTTATTTATTTAAGATGACTTTGAAAATCTTTATTTATTTAAACTTCTTGTGTCTAGCTTTTTAAGAAAATTCATAATTCGTTTGATTCTTAGGTCACCTTGTCACATATTGAATTTAAAATATTGAAAAATTAATCTAGCTCCTAGAAGAAAGAGAGAATTTATCATCATAACAAATGACTACATTGCTTTCATATAAGAATTACAATAACACTAAAACACATGGGTTTTTACTATTCATCTCATGTTCACACCCACTCATTCTCACTATTCACTTACACTCGTGCATTTCACTCTTGCAAACCAAGTTTGTCAAAAATTTTTACTTTGATCCCTCATGTTTTCAAGAAAAAACTATCAATCTCGAACTTTATTTATGTTTCATTTTAGTCCTTGATAGCTTGGAGGAGAGAGAACTGAAGAGAGAGAGGAGAGAGCAAGAGAGAACAAGGCTCATTTTGACCACCTTAATCGTCGAATTCACCACCATTTTGTTTGTCTTAAAGAATAGAATCTATGTGTGGCGGTCATAAGCCATGAAGTGATAGGAGAAGGTAAACCGAAAGCTCAAAATATTTTGAGTTTTTTTATTTATTTTGATTTGAATTTTTATGCGTTTTGTGAGTATTAAAATGGGTTAAGGTTGCAAACAAGTTTTTTATTGTTATTTCTATTATTTTGAGGTGTTTTTAGGCAAAAGATGGAGTTAAAATTGGGTTAGAGAGGTTTGGAAGATCCGAGCTCGACTTTCTAGTGAACCATAGTTCATCAAAAATTGTAAACTCTTTTTTTAAAGCCTAAAAATAGGCCCAAATGTGCGTGCAAGCCGAGTCAAGCCTAGGCATGTGTAGGGGTTGAAGCCAAGCCAAGATGCGAATATGTGTTGAAGGACCATGCATCCTATAAAGGTGCAAAATAAACAAAAAATTTCCTCCATTTAAAAGGCCCAAGATCATGTTGTTGAATCAACTAACTATATATACATGAATTAAAGCAACGAATAGAGAATTACCTCTTGTAACGCAGATCTAAATTCTTTAGCAAGTAAAGCCATCCAAGTGTCCGACCTCTATTGATAATCCAAGCAGTCCAGTGCACCGACAAAGAAGCACTCAAAGTTAATAAAGTGTTAGCTCCACCTTTTATGATTTGTGTAGTGTTTTCTATAGAAATCTTATTCGATCAAGTTTGTGACAACAAAAGAGAAGAGAAAGGAGGTAGTGTGCTAGGATTAGAGAGAAAACAATTTTCTCCTTATTTTTATTTTAACCGTGTGTCCCTTTTTTATTTTCTAAGTGTGCCACATTTACTCTCTCTTAAAACTACTCATTATGCCGCACCTCTCCTCCTATTTATAGAGGGAGGGTGGCAAGTAAGTTCTAATTAGACTTATGTTTATTGCTTTCTAATCCTCCAAGGATTAGGAGTTATTTTACATTTGGGTTTTTGATATTTTTCATAACCAAAATTTCAGAATTTTTTATTTTTAATTGATTATTTTTTTCTTTTATTTTAAGTTTTTTATTATTTATTTTCTTATCTTAATCGGTGTTATTATTTTTATTTATTCCATTTTTCTTAATAATGTGCAAAATGAAAAAAAAATACAAAAATACAAAAATAATGTGAATTTAACATTTTAGGGATGCAATTGTATTAAATTTAAAATCATTATAGCAATTGGGGATACAATCAAATCATTTAAAAATTCAAGAGCCGGATTACATTGGACAAGGATCAAATTGACCTAATAACAACTTACGAGTGACCAAAATGCAAAAACAAAAAAACAAATACAAATAATTAAAAAATACCAAAGTTTGCGGAAGAGTGGGCGACTAGCTACCTACTCCTACCCGTAACTAATTTTTGGGATTATTTTTTTCTCTCCGCTTCATGGAACCGATTTTGATTTTGGTTTCGATTGCAGGAACCAATTTCTGTTCTTAATTTTGGCGTTGAATTCCAATCCTAGTAAAAATTAATTCCCTTAACTCGTACTTGCCATTTCTCCCTCATCACCTAGTCAACAATAGCGAGCACCTCGACCGACCAGCCTCACCGTTCTCGTTGCAACTCCCACGAGTCCCTCCGGACCACTTCCCCCATATCCGGTAACCTCCAAGTGCAATCCCTTAATTCCTGCAGACCTCACCATGTCAGTAATCGGCAAAGAATCGCACAGCCTTTCCCCTATTACCGACCTCGCCACAACCATCCCCTACAACCCAAAATGATCACAAACGCCCACTCCATATCCCGCAACAAAATCCCTTACCATCATGGTGGGGAACCAACCAAACAGGAGAGGTTCGCATATACACACACACACACACACACACACACACACACAC